GATACTTTAGAAGACATATTAAGGGTTTTGCAGAGCTAGCAGCACCACTGACAGATCTAACTAAGAAGAAAGCTAAGTTTGTATGGAAAGAAGAACATGAGTTGGCTCACGAAAAATTAAAGGCTGAGCTTACAAGTGAGCCGGTATTAGTGGTGTCCTGATTTTTCCAGAGAGTTTGAGATACATACAGACGCTTCAGCAGTTGCAATAGGAGGTTGCCTAATGCAAAGAGACAAGGAAAATAACCCACACCCAGTAGCGTATTTTAGCAGAAAGATTAAAGGACCGGAAGTCAGGTATGCCATCACTGATAAAGAAGCCTTGCAGTGGTAGAAAGTGTGAGATACTTTGAACCGTATGTATTTCAGCGCCATTTTAAAATAATAACAGATCACAGGGCATTGGTGCACATATTTAAAAAGAAAACTCGCTGTCCTAGGATGTCTAGATGGGGTTACGAACTGTCAGCACACTCGTACCAGATTCTTTATAAGCCAGGAGCCTCACACATGTACCAGACGTATTGAGTAGGAATGTAGCAGCAATAAATGTTGATGTTAATATTGAGAATGTGAACAATGAAAAATTAAGAGAGTACCAACTGGAAGAGAACAGGTGGAAGGAGATAATTGAGTATTTGGAGGGAGAGAAGCTCCCGTGCCACAAGCCAAGCCGCCCTATTGATGAATTCGAGATCGAAAGACGGTGTGCTACATAGGATTACGGAGCTGAACGATCGTTCAGTACAGCAGGTAGTAATACCCAATGTCCTCAGGAAGGCGCTCTGAAGCTTGACACTCATCCAAGATGGCTGGCCATCCAGGTGTTTTTAGGACTTATAAGAGGGCCAAAGAAATGTTCTACTTTCTGGTCTCCTGAATTATGTAACCGAATATGTAAAATGTTGTGGTAATTGCCAAAGGAGGAAAGGTAACCCTCAGGTTAATGTGGAATTGCAAGCTTTTCCGAGATTAAGGAGCCGTTGGACCGGGTTGGTGCAGATCTTATTGACTTACATAATAGTTATTCAGCAATAGGTATGTTCTTGTGCTGGTGGACCATCTGTCACGGTATACAACACTTGTACCCATCCCTAAGAAAGACCCACAGACTGTTGCAGAGGCGCTCCTTGATAGATTCGTAGCAATATTTGGACCTCCTAGAGAATTAGTAAACAGATCAAGGTTCAGAGTTTAAAAGCAAGGTATTTGCAGAGGTTTGTAACACCTTAAAAAATAATGACAGCATTCACGACAGCTTATCATCCACAGGCGAATGGTATGGTGGAGAGAACGAACCAAGTAGTCAAAAATACACTGGCCATTCTCTCAGAGAAAGAACCATTACAATGGGATAAATATATACCATATGTTCAATTTGCTTTAAACACCGCTATTCACAAATCAATAGGGACACAACCATTATTCCTATTTACAGGGCATGACTGTCATTTTGCAGCAGGCTTGGTGAACCAAGCAGTTGTCAAGATACGGTGAGGACTATCCTTCAGAAGTCCTAACAAAAATGAGAACTGCTTGGGCGAACTGCGCCCAGGCATCTGGTAGAGCGCAGGAAAAATATGCTCACTACTATGACAGGCAGGTGAAGCCTCTTAAACTTAAGGAAGGTAACCCAGTAATGGTATATATAAAGATGAAGTAACCCCTCAACAGAGTAGGTCCCTCGGTCCAAGGTGGAAAGGTCCTTACCGCATCTTAGAGAAAATGGGACCAGTAAACGTGAAGGTAAAAGGGTTGTTTGAGGACCAGAGTGAGAGGATTGTTCATTGTAATAAACTAAAGCCATTCTGGTCTGAGGAGGAAATAGTAATGCCTAATGTTAATGTGGTGGATGAAAGGACTGTAAATGACGAGGTATATGAGGAAGATAGGTTACATCAGCTGGTAGAGGAAAATGTTGGTATGAATACAAGGTCAAGAATGTATAGACGAAATTTGTAAGGGAATTATTGCTGGAGGGAGGGGAGTGTTGTGTAGTAAATGGGACCCTGAGGGAAGGAGCTGACCACTCGCCTCGCCCTCAGGTCGGCTCAATACTCTAGAGACCTGCCCACCAACAATAAGCCCAGTCACCTGTAGAACAATACTGCCGTCTACTATTATTCTCAGGAGATGTGGAGATGTTGCCAGGATCTGCCAAGGAGACTCCACGAATCTATTTGGCCTGGAGTGATGGAGACGCAGAAGTGCCAAGAAGTCAGTTTGGGTCCAGCAAAAGGGCTATTATTAGACCTGGGAGACTTGAGGAAAAGCGGGTAGCCAGCTCTCGTGCCACCACCATGCAGAGGTGGAAGTTGAGGGTGAGGCTGGACGGATGAAGGGTGGCCTTGGTGCCTGAGGAGTATTGTCGTGGTGAAGATAAGCTGCTTGCTGAGTCGTGAAGTTCCAGATGCTGTGCTTTCATACGAGAGGGACCCGATGAGCGTTCCTTAAACGCCAATGAAGTCCACACAATGAGACATGGCCCAATTTAGGAAGTGCTAGGGTCGGCCAGAAGCTCTGGCTAACCCCTCTTCTAGTAGAAGCAGTAGACAGATCTGGAGGTGAGATGACAAGAATACTGCAATGGCCCTATGTCCTCCTCCGTCGACCCCTTCATATTTCTGCCAAGGATTTGTAGAGAGCTTCTCCCTGGGTCAATAGCATGGCCCCAAGTCAAGCCAACCGTGTCATCACTACTAGCCAGTGAAGCTTGGGAAATGATGATTAGAGTGGTATTAGTATGGTATCTCTACTGCTAGGGGATGCCCTATGTTATGTCAGCTGTTGGGACAAAAATGTGTTGTATATTATGTGAGCTAGCTCCTTGCGGGAGGGATCACAGTAGAGATAGGATGTATTTTCTTTTCAGGTGGAGAACTGTAAACACCAATCGGCTCGCCGTCAGAAGAGGATTCCTTTATGTGAGGGATGGGAGGTTTTCTTTTAGTTCCTAGAAATGGGATAATGATTGGTCCTGGTTGCGATTCCTGCCTTGTCATGAATGGTCACGGTACGGTGCAAGGAAAATGCGACATTGTGGTCGTGTAATGGTTCAGTTGCAAGTACTTGAAGGAATAATACCCGCTGGAGCTGTTTTCTACGCCAGGAAAACCTTACGAGGTTTGGCTCAATGGTTAATTAGCGAGGGTGACTACAGGAGCTAGTTTATTTCTAGTAGAGTACAGGAAGGCACTGGAGCCCGATATTTAGTTTTAAGGAGACATGACGGATAAGGAGGTTTCGCACCAGAGTCATTGTTATTCGTTTCTTGTGCTAGAATTTATTAAACCTACTGATCTGTGTGAATTCATATTATTTGCTATTGTATTGTAATAGATTTAAGGGATTAGGATTAAAATAATCTAATAAAATAGGACAAATTGTCTAGTTCTCAGATATTTTAAATTGGGGGAGAAAGGGGGATGTGATGTAGTCCAGCGGGCTTGTGAGGTCTCTGGGAGAGACTAATTTAACCAATTATTGGTCACACCTTGCCTTGGCAGACGTCTGTAGCCACGCCCACGTCTGAGGTCTTTTGTTCTTAACAGCGTCAGAGCTCGGCGTCAGGTCGCAACACGTGGTACATACACCATTGGGGAGGGGGGGTACTTTGACTACGATATAAGCCAGGGAAGAGGCGGGGCAAGGGGGTTGTTGGTGACAGGTCCGTCGAGCGAGAGCTCTGGACAGCCGCGTGTGTAGTGGGACCACGCATTGGGAATCTCGGGTCAGCTGGTCGGTGAATTAAGAGTGAGTACTAGTCCGTGTTACTGATACATCTACCCTTCCCCTGGTAATAAGTCTCATAGGTCAATTGTTATATTGTGTAAATTTCCATCAGGAGATGTTGTATTCTAGCCCTTTTATGTTATTAAGTAAACTATAGCCATAGTTCCCATTTTTATTTGTACCTTCATATGCTATTCCTAGCTTGTTAAGCACTGGGATATACAGGGGACGTGCTCACTCGCTGGGATACCTCCGGTAGAGTGGGTAGAGGTCTCACAATAACGTGTTGGTATTACAGGTGGTGTTATAACGTGTTGGTGTTACAGGTGGTGCTATAACGTGTTGGTGTTACAGGTGGTGTTATAACGTGTTGGTGTTACAGGTGGTGTTATAACGTGTTGGTATTACAGGTGGTGTTATAACGTGTTGGTATTACAGGTGGTGTTATAAGGTGTTGGTGTTACAGGTGGTGTTATAACGTGTTGGTGTTACAGGTGGTGTTATAAGGTGTTGGTGTTACAGGTGGTGTTATAACATGTGTTGGTGTTACAGGTGGTATTATAACATGTGTTGGTGTTACAGGTGGTGTTATAACGTGTTGGTGTTACAGGTGGTGTTATAACATGTGTTGGTGTTACAGGTGGTGTTATAACATGTGTTGGTGTTACAGGTGGTATTATAACATGTGTTGGTGTTACAGGTGGTGTTATAACGTGTTGGTGTTACAGGTGGTGTTATAACATGTGTTGGTGTTACAGGTGGTATTATAACATGTGTTGGTGTTACAGGTGGTGTTATAACGTGTTGGTGTTACAGGTGGTGTTATAACATATGTTGGTATTACAGGTGGTGTTATAACGTGTTGGTGTTACAGGTGGTGTTATAACATGTGTTGGTGTTACAGGTGGTATTATAACATGTGTTGGTGTTACAGGTGGTGTTATAACGTGTTGGTGTTACAGGTGGTGTTATAACATATGTTGGTATTACAGGTGGTGTTATAACGTGTTGGTGTTACAGGTGGTGTTATAACGTGTTGGTGTTACAGGTGGTATTACAACATTTGTTGGTGTTACAGGTGGTATTATAACATCTGTTGGTGTTACAGGTGGTGTTATAACGTGTTGGTGTTACAGGTGGTGTTATTAACTTGTGTTAGTGTTACAGGTGGTGGTATTAACTCGTGTTAGTGTTACAGGCGAATCTATGAATGTATACGTCGTGTTGGTGTTACGGATGGTGTTATAACACAAGTTATTGTTATTACAGGTGGTGTCAGGATGACAGGAGCTGAGGGACTGGTGTGGAAGTGGATAGGTGCCGGAACCTCACCTGTGGACTGGTGTGAGGGTAACTACACCGTAACTCCCCACATAGCCGAGTTCGTTAACACTATCACCAACATAGTGTTCCTGGTTGTTCCTGCCGCCTCTACGAAGCTCTGGTTGAGTTACGCCAGACACGTCTCCCGGGGGATACATATTATCTGGTTCTTCTATGTGGTCATAGGCCTATCTTCGGCCTATTTCCACGCTACCTTATCGCTTTTAGGCCAGCTACTGGATGAGTTGTCAATATTGTGGGTGTTGATGGTGTCTTATACACTATTCACGCCTGTTATGTACCGTCCTAAGTTCCTGCGTAGTAATCAACGGTTATACGCGGCTTGTATGGTAGCATTATCCGTGCTGATCACTGCCTCGGCGTTCGTGCAGCCTGCTATCAACGCCTACGCTTTGTTTATTGTAGGCCTACCCGCTGTGGCTATGCTGGTAGTGGAAATGCGGGTCATGAAAGATACCAGCGTCGTCCGTTTATCTAAAATTACCCTAGCGGCACTAATCCTAGCTGCTACGTGCTGGGTCTGCGACCGTTTCCTGTGTGCTATGTGGCAGGCCCTAGACCTGACCGTCCTGCACGGCCTGTGGCATGTGTTAATCTTTATCACGGCCTACAGTATGCAGGTTCTATTCTGCTATCTCCACGCTGTACAGGATGTACCCGAGTCTCGTCCTGAGCTGCGATACTGGCCAAGGCGCACCTGGGCCCTTCCCTATGTGTTCTGTCCGGCACCTACCCACCAGAAGACGCCCTGACCTGCACCTGACGTCTCGTCTACACCTAACGCTTCACCTACCCAGCGACGATCTGTCCCCAGTTTTATTACTTAATTACCCAGATTAGCGGACGGAGTATTAAGCCTTCACCTCTCGTTCTTCATAAATAATAATAATAATAATAATAATAATAATAATAATAATAATAATAATAATAATAATAATAATAATAATAATTAATAATAATAATTATAATAATCATAATATGGTGCTATACAATACAAACCTTCAATACACTGCTAAGAGGCTTTTCTTCCAAGGGGCTGGATGATCATGCGGATTTAGCGATTTATGGAAGTGAACGGAGGGAGAAAATCCAGTTAATCCGGATTTATAATCCAAAACGTGTGACTGATCCAGATTTATAGTATGTGAAGATTACAGTGAGAGGTGTATATCTCAGTGTATATACACTGAGTGGTGTATATCTCAGTGTATATACACTGAGTGATGTATATCTCAGTGTATATACACTGAGTGGTGTATATCTCAGTGTATATACACTGAGTGATGTATATCTCCAGTGTATATACACTGAGTGGTGTATATCTCAGTGTATATACACTGAGTGATGTATATCTCAGTGTATATACACTGAGTGGTGTATATCTCAGTGTATATACACTGAGTGGTGTATATCTCAGTGTATATACACTGAGTGGTGTATATCTCAGTGTATATACACTGAGTGGTGTATATCTCAGTGTATATACACTGAGTGGTGTATATCTCAGTGTATATACACTGAGTGATGTATATCTCAGTGTATATACACTGAGTGATGTATATCTCAGTGTATATACACTGAAAGGTATATCTCAGTGTATATACACTGAGTGGTGTATATCTCAGTGTATATACACTGAGTGGTGTATATCTCAGTGTATATACACTGAGTGGTGTATATCTCAGTGTATATACACTGAGTGATGTATATCTCAGTGTATATACACTGAGTGGTGTATATCTCAGTGTATATACACTGAAAGGTATATCTCAGTGTATATACACTGAAAGGCATATCTCAGTGTATATACACTGAAAGGTATACCTCAGTGTATATACACTGAGAGGTATATCTCAGTGTATATACACTGAAAGGTATATCTCAGTGTATATACACTGAGAGGTGTATACACTCATTAACCAGCCAACCTTAACAACCCTCGTGTAGTAGATAGACTTTAAACCCCCACTAACTTGAGACATGTACAAACATGAATTAGACATGTGTACAACATCTTAATACTTTCATTGTTTATCCATCCAGGTCAGTGTAGAGCTTTATCAAGTTACGTTACACTCAGTGTAGAGCTTTATCAAGTTATGTTACACTCAGTGTAGAGCTTTATCAAGTTATGTTACACTCAGTGTAGAGCTTTATCAAGTTATGTTACACTCAGTGTAGAGCTTTATCAAGTTATGTTACACTCAGTGTAAAGCTTTATCAAGTTATGTTACACTCAGTGTAGAGCTTTATCAAGTTATGTTACACTCAGTGTAGAGCTTTATCAAGTTATGTTACACTCAGTGTAGAGCTTATCAAGTTATGTTACACTCAGTGTAGAGCTTTATCAAGTTATGTTACACTCAGTGTAGAGCTTTATCAAGTTATGTTACACTAAGGTAGAGCTTTATCAGTTATGTTACACTCAGTGTAGAGCTTTATCAAGTTATGTTACACTCAGTGTAGAGCTTTATCAAGTTATGTTACACTCAGTGTAGAGCTTTATCAAGTTATGTTACACTCAGTGTAGAGCTTTATCAAGTTATGTTACACTCAGTGTAGAGCTTTATCAAGTTTCAGTGTAGAGCTTTATCAAGTTATGTTACACTCAGTGTAGAGCTTTATCAAGTTACGTTACACTCAGTGTAGAGCTTTATCAAGTTATGTTACACTCAGTGTAGAGCTTTATCAAGTTACGTTACACTCAGTGTAGAGCTTTATCAAGTTAGTTACACTCAGTGTAGAGCTTTATCAAGTTATGTTACACTCAGTGTAGAGCTTTATCAAGTTATGTATACACTCAGTGTAGAGCATTATCAAGTTACGTTACACTCAGTGTAGAGCTTATCAAGTTATGTTACACTCAGTGTAGAGCTTTATCAAGTTATGTTACACTCAGTGTAGAGCTTTATCAAGTTATGTTACACTCAGTGTAGAGCTTTATCAAGTTATGTTACACTCAGTGTAGAGCTTTATCAAGTTATGTTACACTCTGTGTAGAGCTTTATCAAGTTATGTTACACTCAGTGTAGAGCTTTATCAAGTTATGTTTCACTCAGTGTAGAGCTTTATCAAGTTATGTTTCACTCAGTGTAGAGCTTTATCAAGTTATGTTACACTCAGTGTAGAGCTTTATCAAGTTATGTTTCACTCAGTGTAGAGCTTTATCAAGTTATGTTACACTCTGTGTAGAGCTTTATCAAGTTATGTTACACTCTGTGTAGAGCTTTATCAAGTTATGTTACACTCTGTGTAGAGCTTTATCAAGTTATGTTACACTCAGTGTAGAGCTTTATCAAGTTATGTTACACTCTGTGTAGAGCTTTATCAAGTTATGTTACACTCAGTGTAGAGCTTTATCAAGTTATGTTACACTCAGTGTAGAGCTTTATCAAGTTATGTTACACTCTGTGTAGAGCTTTATCAAGTTATGTTACACTCTGTGTAGAGCTTTATCAAGTTATGTTACACTCAGTGTAGAGCTTTATCAAGTTATGTTTCACTCTGTGTAGAGCTTTATCAAGTTATGTTACACTCAGTGTAGAGCTTTATCAAGTTATGTTACACTCAGTGTAGAGCTTTATCAAGTTATGTTACACTCAGTGTAGAGCTTTATCAAGTTATGTTACACTCAGTGTAGAGCTTTATCAAGTTATGTTACACTCTGTGTAGAGCTTTATCAAGTTATGTTACACTCTGTGTAGAGCTTTATCAAGTTATGTTACACTCAGTGTAGAGCTTTATCAAGTTATGTTACACTCTGTGTAGAGCTTTATCAAGTTACGTTACACTCAGTGTAGAGCTTTATCAAGTTATGTTACACTCTGTGTAGAGCTTTATCAAGTTATGTTACACTCAGTGTAGAGCTTTATCAAGTTATGTTACACTCAGTGTAGAGCTTTATCAAGTTATGTTACACTCAGTGTAGAGCTTTATCAAGTTATGTTACACTCAGTGTAGAGCTTTATCAGTTATGTTACACTCAGTGTAGAGCTTTATCAAGTTAGGTTAAATCACGGTAGTTAGCACAGCAGTTCCCGACTTAATAAAACACATCCTACCTATATACATAGCTAAATGATGTAAGGTTAGATAATAATATAGAGGTAAATGGCTTAATTTCAGCTATTAATGATAATATTGGCAGTATAATGTTAAGTGAAATATAAAATATATACGTAAATACCCCTTGCGTTCCGCACATGGGACGGAACACATACCGACTAGTGTATATCTATAATACATATTTCTCAAGGTATGTACATTGAGAAATGTACATCTCTCAGTGCAAACACCAATATACACCAGTCATTGTATATACACATGTAAATTTCTCAGTGTATATATATATATATATATATATATATATATATATAATATTATATATATATATATATATATATATTTATATATATATATATATATATATATATATATATATTATATATATATATTATATATATAATATATTGAGTCTCATTCAGTAGATAGGCTTCAAACCCAGCACTTTCAACCCTCCGAGGGGCTCAGACTGTAGCTCTCCACTTCCTCGGATCAAACATGGTCACATTCCCCAGCCTCTATAATCTTAAGGACGATTATATTACTTATAATTCCGTTCAATAAATTATTTTGCACTATAATTTGTATTATTTTGTGTTTGTGATCCAGGAAATTATAGGTGCCATCCGTTTCCTCGGATCAAACCTCTGAATACCTATTAATCCCCAGCGTTGTATGACTCATAAGGGTTTAGTGTTTTACTCTCATGTCTTTATTTATTATTAATTATTATATGATTATTAATTATTATTGTTAATTATTATTATTAATAATTATTGTTAATTATTATTAATAATTATTATTGTTAATTATTATTAATAATTATTATTGTTAATTATTATTAATAATTATTATTATTAATTATTATTAATAATTAATAATAATACTTATTATTAATTATTAATAATAATTGTTAATTATTATTATTAATTATTATTGTTAATTATTATTAATAATTATTATTAATAATTATTATTAATAATTATTATTGTTAATTATTATTAATAATTATTATTGTAATTATTATTAATAATTATTATTGTTAATTATTATTAATAATTATTATTGTTAATTATTATTAATAATAATTATTGTTAATTATTATTGCTAATTATTATTAATAATTATTATTGTTAATTATTATTATTAATAAACTATTGTTAATTATTATTAATAATTATTATTGTTAATTATTATTAATAATTATTATTGTTAATTATTATTAATAATTATTATTGTTAATTATTATTAATAATTATTATTGTTAATTATTATTAATAATTATTATTGTTAATTATTTTTAATAATTATTAATTATTATTAATTATTATTGTTAATCATTATTATTATTAATTTTTGTTATTAATTATTATTATTATTATTATTATTATAATTATTATTATTATTATTATTATTATTATTATAATTTTTTATTATTTTATTATTATTATTATTATTATTATTATTATTATTATTATTATTATTATTATTATTATTATTATTATTATAAATATAGTAAAGAGTATAAATCTTGATAAATATTTATTAGGCCTGAGGTTGCTGCCATCTGCAGCTCACAAGACTGCCATCCCCACGAGGCCCTTTGAGGCGGGGTAGATGGCAGACCAGAGAGGCCTAGCTTCTCCCTACGAGCCCCGTGAGGGCGGGGAATGTGGCTAGGCCTAGGGACACTTGGTCCCAAAGATGATGAGGGGGTATTTGTACCTCCTCCCATGGGAGACTTAGTAAGTAAGTTTATTTAGGTATACTTAGTAAGTAAGTAAGTTTATTTAGGTATACACAAATACAGTTACATAGAATTATCATACATAGCAGCATATGTGTAGAGAACCTTAGGTCTGGAGATACTCCCCAGAGAGGGAGTCAAGGCCGGGTCACCACTACTTAAAAAAGACCCGGACCGGGAGAATACCGGCGAATAAAAATAAATAAATATTTATTGTTTTAATATGTATTGTAATAATGATATATTAATACATTTTAAGAGTGCCAACAGGAGTGGCACTGCCGTCAGATACGATGGCACCATGGTATCGTGGCACTGTGCCACCATGGCATCGTGGCACTGTGCCACCATGGCATCGTGGCACCATGGTATCGTGGCACTGTGCCACCATGGCATCGTGGCACTGTGCCACCATGGCATCGTGGCACTGTGCCACCATGGCATCGTGGCACCATGGTATCGTGGCACAGTGCCACCATGGCATCGTGGCACCATGGTATCGTGGCACTGTGCCACCATGGCATCGTGGCACTGTGGCACCATGGCATCGTGGCACTGTGCCACCATGTCATCGTGGCACTGTGCCACCATGGCATCGTGGCACTGTGCCACCATGGCATCGTGGCACTGTGCCACCATGACATCGTGGCACTGTGCCACCATGGCATCGTGGCACTGTGCCACCATGGCATCGTGGCACTGTGCCACCATGACATCGTGGCACTGTGCCACCATGGCATCATAGGGGAAGGAATACACATTATCTTGATTGTTATTATTACCATTATTATCACTATAATTAGCATTATTATTACTCAAATTAACAGGGTCACACGCTTTGCTTAAACTGAAAAAAGTACAAACTAACAGGTGGGTCATACAAGGTCAGGCAGGTGGGTCATACAAGGTCAGGCATGTGGGTCATACAAGGTCAGGCAGGTGGGTCATACAAGGTCAGGCAGGTGGGTCATACAAGGTCAGGCAGGTGGGTCATACAAGGTCAGACACGTGGGTCATACAAGGTCAGGCAGGTGGGTCATACAAGGTCATGCAGGTGGGTCATACAAGGTCATGCAGGTGGGTCATACAAGGTCAGACACGTGGGTCATACAAGGTCAGGCAGGTGGGTCATACAAGGTCAGGCAGGTGGGTCATACAAGGTCAGGCAGGTGGGTCATACAAGGTCAGGCATGTGGGTCATACAAGGTCAGGCATGTGGGTCATACAAGGTCAGGCATGTGGGTCATACAAGGTCAGGCAGGTGGGTCATACAAGGTCAGGCATGTGGGTCATACAAGGTCAGGCAGGTGGGTCATACAAGGTCAGGTAGGTGGGTCATACAAGGTCAGGCATGTGGGTCATACAAGGTCAGGCAGGTGGGTCATACAAGGTCAGGTAGGTGGGTCATACAAGGTCAGGCAGGTGGGTCATACAAGGTCAGGCAGGTGGGTCATACAAGGTCAGGCAGGTAGGTCATACAAGGTCAGGCATGTGGGTCATACAAGGTCAGGCAGGTGGGTCATACAAGGTCAGGCATGTGAGGCACCAAGTATATTAGAGAAATAATCTGTACAGCCTACCACAGTAGACCTCAGCAAGGACCAGGGGGACCTCAACACGCGTCGTCAGGACTGAAGACAGTTGCTGTGCCATGCTTCCTGTGACCTGTATGTGACCTGACCTCGCTGCTGGGTGCACATACCGGCTACTGATTGATGATGGAATCAATCTATCAACCTTGGAGAAATTGTGTGAGGTGGTCAGTCCCTCAGCCTGGAGATGAGTTCAACGGACTTGCCTTGCATGGGCCAGTAGGCCTTCTGCAGTGTTCCTCCATTTTTATGTTCATATCGTTCCAGATCATGACACGGTAAGGCAATGGGACTTCATCATTATGGTACCATTATAGACAGGATCTACTGTGAAACTATATATATTAACCATGATTTTTAACGGGGTGGACCGGTAAGCCAGCGGAAGGCCTCGGTCAGATGACCAAAAGCTCCAACTGTGGGTCATCAAATGACTGTGTCAGGAAACACTTGTCCTGTTTCCTGACAAACATTATACCTACTTACTATGTAACTAATAAGGCTTAAGCTTGAGGGGCCCCCTAATCCCGGAGGGGTCCCTTAATCTCGGAGGGGCCCCTTAATCCCGGAGGGGCCCCTTAATCTCGGAGGGGCCCCTTAATCCTGGAGGGGCCCCCTAATCCTTGAGGGGCCCCCCATAACGGTTCAAGCTTCAGGGCTACAAGAATGTAGGTCCACCACAAACTGAAAAGCATATTATAGGGTAGGATAATGGCATCAATCACTATGGTACCATTGTTGAATAGGGAAGGATAATGGCGTCAATCACTATGGTACCATTGTTGAATAGGGTAGGATAATGGCGTCAATCACTATGGTACCATTGTTGAATAGGGAAGGATAATGGCGTCAATCACTATGGTACCATTGTTGAATAGGGTAGGATAATGGCATCAATCACTATGGTACCATTGTTGAATAGGGTAGGATAATGGCATCAATCACTATGGTACCATTGTTGAATAGGGAAGGATAATGGCGTCAATCACTATGGTACCATTGTTGAATAGGACTGAAAAACTATTACTATGACAATGGTATTCGCCATGGATCCCATCACAAGACTATGGCACCATTACTTTAGGTAAGGTTTCTCAGGGAACAGGACAATATTCCCTGACGTGGGTCTGTAGTCACATGACCCACACCTGGAGCTTTTGGTCATCTAACCGAAACCTTCAACTGGCTTACCCCCTCCACCCCCTAAACAGCTAAGACTACAGTTATTACCATACTATGGTACCATTAAAAACAGTTCCCTTATACTTCCAGACTGCTGCAGTAGTGCAGACCTTCTCCCACACACGCAGCATACCTGCAATATGACAGAATTAATATCTCCTCCCTTATATAACATGTAACATAGTCTTAAGTTGTGATATTATGTGAGTAATTAGGTATAATATATGTGTAATAAGGAATATGTGAGTAATAATGTATAATTTACTGGAAATATAGAATATTACTGGGGTAACTTAAGCATTCTCACTCTAAGGAAAATGAGAGATGTGTGTCTCAATGTATGTACACTGAGAGGTGTGTGTCTCAGCGTATATACACTGAGAGGTGTGTCTCAGTGTATATACACTGAGAGGTGCGTGTCTCAATGTATATACACTGAGAGGTGTGTGTCTCAATGTATATACACTGAGAGGTGCGTGTCTCAATGTATATACACTGAGAGGTGCGTGTCTCAGTGTATATACACTGAGAGGTGCGTGTCTCAGTGTATATACACTGAGAGGTGTGTGTCTCAATGTATGTACACTGAGAGGTGTGTGTCTCAATGTATGTACACTGAGAGGTGTGTGTCTCAGCGTATATACACTGAGAGGTGTGTGTCTCAATGTATGTACACTGAGAGGTGTGTGTCTCAGCGTATATACACTGAGAGGTGTGTGTCTCAGTGTATATGCACTGAGAGGTGCGTGTCTCAATGTATATACACTGAGAGGTGTGTGTCTCAGTGTATATACACTGAGAGGTGTGTGTCTCAGTGTATATACACTGAGAGGTGTGTGTCTCAGTGTATATACACTGAGAGGTGTGTGTCTCAGTGTATATACACTGAGAGGTGTGTGTCTCAGTGTATATACACTGAGAGGTGCGTGTCTCAGTGTATATACACTGAGAGGTGCGTGTCTCAATGTATATACACTGAGAGGTGTGTGTCTCAGTGTATATACACTGAGAGGTGTGTGTCTCAGCGTATATACACTGAGAGGTGCGTGTCTCAGTGTATATACACTGAGAGGTGTGTGTCTCAGTGTATATACACTGAGAGGTGTGTGTCTCAGTGTATATACACTGAGAGGTGTGTGTCTCAGTGTATATACACTGAGAGGTGCGTGTCTCAGTGTATATACACTGAGAGGTGCGTGTCTCAATGTATATACACTGAGAGGTGTGTGTCTCAATGTATATACACTGAGAGGTGTGTGTCTCAATGTATATACACTGAGAGGTGCGTGTCTCAGTGTATATACACTGAGAGGTGCGTGTCTCAGTGTATATACACTGAGAGGTGCGTGTCTCAGTGTATATACACTGAGAGGTGCGTGTCTCAGTGTATTACGAGGTACTTCTGATTCTCATGTAGGAGATACGACCTAAAACCCCTTTAACCAACTAACCTTAAGACCGTCATGTAGACACCTGCGACATTTGGGTATCTTTATTTTTAGACATTTTTAGACATTTGTAGACATTCTTCAAGACAACAGTGTATATCACCATCTACAAACCTGAGGGACTGTTTACCTCATCTTTTGTATATACTCCTACAGTCTACACATTATCCTTGTATCGACAAAACTGGATGGTTAGACGTGGTACTGTATACCACTGGTATTGTGTACCACTGATACACGACCCTCGTTTAGTGGACAGCTTTAAACCCCAATAAAACCATTAACAACAATAGGAGGTACCTTAAAGCATGAGGTATAAAGGCGTTCTCGTGGATACCAGTGAATAAGTGTGCGTGGGGACCCAAGGCATAGAGTATCACCTCCTCCCCGGCGTGGTTGGACTCTATCATGGGCACGGTGGCTGCCCCTGGGTAGTGTGGGTCTCCTGTGCCCACACACAAACCAAAATTATCTATTTTTATACAATTTTCGAGTAAAAAATGTACATTAGAGTGATTTTAAGCAGGTTGGTAAAGTTTTCTATGAAACAGGATAATTTAAATTAGTTATCCCTCGCTTATTTTAATTAAAAAAAAATCTTAAAAATTAAAATCGTTAATAAAATATGTAAAATCCTTTTTATTTAACTAAATTTTTCAGTTCTTTTAATTTTATTGGATTCAAAATTAAATTTGTCAAAAATTCTTAAGACATTTAAATAGTAAATTTAAAAATTGAGAGAAAAATCGATTTTTTTTCTACTGATACAGTGCCTGGGGAGGCATTTAGGTTTGATCCGAGGAAGAGGAGAATAGCTCAGATTCCCTGGATGTAAAGCCCTTCACCAGGTCAGGATACCTTCAAGGGGTATGAGCCTTGATGCTGGTGAAGGGATCTTGATCAAAGGTACTGGAGCTTCCCTCTCCTTCCATGGATCAAACCCTATTATATCCCCTTCCATACACACTGTATAACTCCTACGGGTTTAACTCTTCCTATGAATATATTAATAATAATAATAATTATAATAATATAATAATAATTATATATTATTATTATTATTATTATTATTATTATTATTATTATTATTATTATTATTATTATTATATTATATTATTATTATTATTATTATTACTATTATTATTATAATATTATTATTATTATTATTATTATTATTATTATTATTATTATTATTATTATTATTATTATTATATTATTATTATTTATTATTATTATTATTATTATTATTATTATTATTAATTATTATTATTATTATTATTATTATTTTTATATTATTATTATTATTATTATTTTATTATTATTATTATTATATTATATTATTATTATTATTATTATTATTATTTTATTATTATTATTATTATTATATTATTATTATTATTATTATTATTATTATATATTATATTATTATTATTATTATTATTATTATTATTATTATATTATATTATTATTATTATTATTATTATTATTATTATTACTATCTATTATTATTATTATTATTATTATAATTTTTATACTATTATTATTATTATTATTATTATTATTATTATTATTATTATTATTATTATTATTATTATTATTATTATTATTATTATTATTATTATTATTATTATTATTATTATTATTATTATTATTACTATTATTATTATTATTATTATTACTACTATTATTATTATTATTATTATTATTATTATTATTATTATTATTATTATTATTATTATCATTAAGACAACAAGAAGTAACGTACGGTAATCTTCTTTGGATGGATCAGGTCTGAGACCAGACACCTCCCCCCTGTAGCCTGGTCCATTAGTGTACATCAAGGTGGTGAACGGTAGACCATCCACGTCTGAGTAGTCCCCTAGGTCTGTAAGACAAGGGATCTTCATCCAGGGCACTAGAGCAAGTTAGATTACCCTTCTTTGATCCCAGGAACTGGAGGTATCCCTCTCTTTCCTTGGATTAAATCTCAGGTACCTACTTAATGCTAGGTGAATAAAGACTAATATCCAGGGACCTGCTTGCTGCTAGGTGAACAGTGACAGCTGGTGTAAGGTGACTAACATCCAGGTACCTGCTTACTGCTAGGTGAACAGTGACAGCTGGTGTAAGGTGACTAACACCAGGTACCTACTTACTGCTAGTGACAGTGTCAGGCTACTGGCTGTAAGATGACTATACATACGGTACCGTGCTACTGCTAGGTAACAGTGAAGCTGGGTAAGGTTACTAACATTCAGGTACACTGCTTGCTGCTAGGTGAACAGTGACAGCGGTTGTCAGGTATGACTAACATCCAGGGACCTGCTTGCTAGCTAGGTGGTAACAGTGACAGCTGTGTAAGATGACCCTAACATCTCGGGTTCCAGCCTGCTGTACTGCTAGTAAGCAGTAGGCAGCAGGCTGTAAGTGAGGCTAACATTATCCAGGTACCTGCTTACTGCTAGGTACACAGTGGACACAGCTGTGAGTAAGGTGACGCTATACATCCAGGTTACCTGCTTACTGCTGGTAACAGTGGCCAGCTAATGTAAGGTGGCTAACATCCAGGTACTGCTGTACAGCTAGGGACCCACGTGACAGCAGGTTGTCAGGTGATTTAACATCAGTCCCTCTTACTGCTAGGTGAACGTGACATGCTGGCGTAAGGTGACCTAACATTCAGGTACTTACTTACTGCCATAGGTGACACAGTGACAGCAGGTGTAAGGTGACTAACACCCAGGAACCTAACCTGCTGTATGAGCAGGTTAGGTTCCAGGCTACTGCTGTACAGGAGGGCCCTGCTTATACAGCAGATTAGGTTCCAGGCTACTGCTGTAACAGTAGGGCCCCGCTTATACAGCAGGTTAGGTTCCAGGCCACTGCTGTAGCAGTAGGGCCCCACTTATACAGCAGGTTAGGTTCCAGGCTACTGCTGTAACAGTAGGGCCCCACTTATACAGCAGGTTAGGTTCCAGGCTACTGTCTCTAACAGTAGGGCCCACTCATACAGCAGGTTAGGTTCCAGGCTACTGCTGTAACAGTAGGGCCCCACTTATACAGCAGGTTAGGTTCCAGGCTACTGCTCTAACAGTAGGGCCCCACTTATACAGCAGGTTAGGTTCCAGGCTACTGCTCTAACAGTAGGGCCCCACTCATACAGCAGGTTAGGTTCCAGGCTACTGCTGTAACAGTAGGGCCCCACTTATACAGCAGGTTAGGTTCCAGGCTACTGCTGTAACAGTAGGGCCCCACTTATACAGCAGGTTAGGTTCCAGGCTACTGCTGTAACAGTAGAGCCCCACTTATACAGCAGGTTAGGTTCCAGGCTACTGCTCTAACAGTAGGGCCCCACTCATACAGCAGGTTAGGTTCCAGGCTACTGCTGTAACAGTAGGGCCCCACTCATACAGCAGGTTAGGTTCCAGGCTACTGCTGTAACAGTAGGGCCCCACTCATACAGCAGGTTAGGTTCCAGGCTACTGCTGTAACAGTATTGCCCCACTCATACAGCAGGTTAGGTTCCAGGCTACTGCTGTAACAGTAGTGCCCCACTCATACAGCAGGTTAGGTTCCAGGCTACTGATATAAACCAAAATAACAAAAAAGGCACAATACCGTGATTGGAACGATACACAAATGACCCGCACATAAAAGAGAGAAGCTTACGAGGACATTTCAGTCCGACTTGGACCATTGACAAAGTCACACTGTCACTTCGTCAGTGATCCAAGTCGGACCGAAACGTCGTCGTAAACTTCTCTCTTTTATGTGCGGGTCATTTGTGTATAAACTAAAAGTCACTGTAAAGTGAAATATACTTTGCATGTTTATAATAACATATATTAACTGATCAACACAGCTAGGCCTAAAAAAAATACTTATACAGTAAACACATTACTTACCTTAAAATATTTTCATTCTTAGATTATAGCAAGTATTGAATATATTTATTGTAGGAAAACTGAATAATTGCAGAATGGGCATAATTGATAACCACTGTAATTGCAAAGTGCCGTAAAACGAAGCGCCGTAAAGCGAGACATTTCTGTACTTTGTCACTTTCTCCCTACCAATAAGTCTCTCTCCTTATCTAGATTCTTTTGCCTTAAGAAAAGCTAAGATTTATTGGTATTTTTAATTCAGGGTGGGTATGGTTAGCCAGCCAGGGTAACCCAGGGTAGGGAGTGTTAGCCAGCCAGGATAACCCAGGGTAGGGAGTGTTAGCCAGCCAGGATAACCCAGGGTAGGGAGTGTTAGCCAGCCAGGGTAACCCAGGGTAGGGAGTGTTAGCCAGCCAGGATAACCCAGGGTAGGGAGTGTTAGCCAGCCAGGATAACCCAGGGTAGGAAGTGTTAGCCAGCCAGGGTAACCCAGGGTAGGTAGTGTTAGCCAGCCAGGATAACCCAGGGTAGGATGTTAGCCAGCCAGGATAACCCAGGGTAGGTAGTGTTAGCCAGCCAGGGTAACCCAGGGTAGGGAGTGTTAGCCAGCCAGGATAACCCAGGGTAGGGAGTGTTAGCCAGCCAGGGTAACCCAGGGTAGGTAGTGTTAGCCAGCCAGGATAACCCAGGGTAGGGAGTGTTAGCACCCAGGGTAACCCAGGGTAGGTAGTGTTAGCCAGCCAGGTAACCAGGTAGGGAGTGTTAGCCAGCAGGATAACCCAGGTAGGGAGTGTTAGCCAGCCAGGTAACCAGGGTAGGGAGTGTTAGCCAGCCAGGATAACCCAGGGTAGGGAGTGTTAGCCAGCCAGGGTAACCCAGGTAGGTAGTGTTAGCCAGCCAGGGTAACCCAGGGTAGGGAGTGTTAGCCAGCCAGGATAACCCAGGTAGGGAGTGTTAGCCAGCCAGGGTAACCCAGGTAGGGAGTGTTAGCCAGCCAGGATACCCAGGGTAGGGAGTGTTACCAGCCAGGGTAACCCAGGGTAGGTAGTGTTAGCCAGCCAGGATAACCCAGGGTAGGGAGTGTTAGCCAGCCAGGATAACCCAGGGTAGGGAGTGTTAGCCAGCCAGGATAACCCAGGGTAGTGAGTGTTAGCCAGCCAGGATAACCCAGGTAGGAGTGTTAGCCACCAGGATAACCCAGGGTAGAGTAGTGTTAGCCAGCCAGGATAACCCAGGGTAGGGAGTATTAGCCACCAGGATAACCCAGGGTAGGGAGTGTTAAGCCAGCCAGGATAACCCAGGTAGGGAGTGTTAGCCAGCCAGGGTAACCCAGGTAGGGAGTGTTAGCCAGCCAGGATAACCCAGGGTAGGGAGTGTTAGCCAGCCAGGGTAACCCAGGTAGGGAGTGTTTAGCCAGCCAGGGTAACCCAGGGTAGGGAGTGTTAGCCAGCCAGGATAACCCAGGGTAGGGATGTTAGCCAGCCAGGATAACCAGGGTAGGGAGTGTTAGCCAGCCAGGATAAACCCAGGTAGGGAGTGTTAGCCAGCCAGGATAACCCAGGTAGGGAGTGTTAGCCAGCTAGATAACCCAGAGTAGGGAGTGTTAGCCAGCCAGGATAACCCAGGGTAGGGAGTGTTAGCCAGCCAGGATAACCCAGGGTAGGGAGTGTTAGCCAGCCAGGATAACCCAGGTAAGGGAGTGCTAGCCACCAGGGTAACCCAGGGTAGGGAGTGTTAGCCAGCCAGATAACCCAGGGTAGGAGTGTTAGCCAGCCAGGTAACCCAGGTAGGGAGTGTTAGCCAGCCAGGGTAACCCAGGGTAGGTAGTGTTAGCCATCCAGGATAACCCAGGGTAGGGAGTGTTAGCCACCGGATAACCCAGGGTAGGGAGTGTTAGCCAGCCAGGGTAACCCAGGGTAGGGAGTGTTAGCCAGCCAGGATAACCCAGGGTAGGGAGTGTTAGCCAGCCAGGGTAACCCAGGGTAGGTAGTGTTAGCCAGCCAGGATAACCCAGGGTAGGGAGTGTTAGCCAGCCAGGATAACCCAGGTAGGGAGTGTTAGCCAGCCAGGATAACCCAGGGTAGTGAGTGTTAGCCAGCCAGGATAACCCAGGGTAGGGAGTGTTAGCCAGCCAGGATAACCCAGGGTAGGTAGTGTTAGCCAGCCAGAGAATAACCCAGGGTAGGGAGTATTAGCCAGCCAGGATAACCCAGGGTAGGGAGTGTTAGCCAGCCAGGATAACCCAGGGTAGGGAGTGTTAGCCAGCCAGGGTAACCCAGGGTAGGGAGTGTTAGCCAGCCAGGATAACCCAGGGTAGGGAGTGTTAGCCAGCCAGGGTAACCCAGGGTAGGGAGTGTTAGCCAGCCAGGGTAACCCAGGGTAGGGAGTGTTAGCCAGCCAGGATAACCCAGGGTAGGGAGTGTTAGCCAGCCAGGATAATCCAGGGTAGGGAGTGTTAGCCAGCCAGGATAACCCAGGGTAGGGAGTGTTAGCCAGCCAGGATAACCCAGGGTAGGGAGTGTTAGCCAGCTAGGATAACCCAGAGTAGGGAGTGTTAGCCAGCCAGGATAACCCAGGGTAGGGAGTGTTAGCCAGCCAGGATAACCCAGGGTAGGGAGTGTTAGCCAGCCAGGATAACCCAGGGAAGGGAGTGCTAGCCAGCCAGGGTAACCCAGGGTAGGGAGTGTTAGCCAGCCAGAATAACCCAGGGTAGGGAGTGTTAGCCAGCCAGGGTAACCCAGGGTAGGGAGTGTTAGCCAGCCAGGGTAACCCAGGGTAGGTAGTGTTAGCCAGCCAGGGTAACCCAGGGTAGGGAGTGTTAGCCAGCCAGGATAACCCAGGGTAGGGAGTGTTAGCCAGCCAGGGTAACCCAGGGTAGGGAGTGTTAGCCAGCCAGGATAACCCAGGGTAGGGAGTGTTAGCCAGCCAGGGTAACCCAGGGTAGGTAGTGTTAGCCAGCCAGGATAACCCAGGGTAGGGAGTGTTAGCCAGCCAGGATAACCCAGGGTAGGGAGTGTTAGCCAGCCAGGATAACCCAGGGTAGTGAGTGTTAGCCAGCCAGGATAACCCAGGGTAGGGAGTGTTAGCCAGCCAGGATAACCCAGGGTAGGTAGTGTTAGCCAGCCAGGATAACCCAGGGTAGGGAGTGTTAGCCAGCCAGGATAACCCAGGGTAGGGAGTGTTAGCCAGCCAGGATAACCCAGGGTAGGGAGTGTTAGCCAGCCAGGGTAACCCAGGGTAGGGAGTGTTAGCCAGCCAGGATAACCCAGGGTAGGGAGTGTTAGCCAGCCAGGGTAACCCAGGGTAGGGAGTGTTAGCCAGCCAGGGTAACCCAGGGTAGGGAGTGTTAGCCAGCCAGGATAACCCAGGGTAGGGAGTGTTAGCCAGCCAGGATAATCCAGGGTAGGGAGTGTTAGCCAGCCAGGATAACCCAGGGTAGGGAGTGTTAGCCAGCCAGGATAACCCAGGGTAGGGAGTGTTAGCCAGCTAGGATAACCCAGAGTAGGGAGTGTTAGCCAGCCAGGATAACCCAGGGTAGGGAGTGTTAGCCAGCCAGGGTAACCCAGGGTAGGGAGTGTTAGCCAGCCAGGATAACCCAGGGAAGGGAGTGCTAGCCAGCCAGGGTAACCCAGGGTAGGGAGTGTTAGCCAGCCAGAATAACCCAGGGTAGGGAGTGTTAGCCAGCCAGGGTAACCCAGGGTAGGGAGTGTTAGCCAGCCAGGGTAACCCAGGGTAGGGAGTGTTAGCCAGCCAGGGTAACCCAGGGTAGGGAGTGTTAGCCAGCCAGGATAACCCAGGGTAGGGAGTGTTAGCCAGCCAGGATAACCCTGGGTAGGGAGTGTTAGCCAGCCAGGATAACCCAGGGTACGGAGTGTTAGCCAGCCAGGATAACCCAGGGTAGGGAGTGTTAGCCAGCCAGGATAACCCAGGGTAGGGAGTGTTAGCCAGCCAGGATAACCCAGGGTAGGGAGTGTTAGCCAGCCAGGGTAACCCAGGGTAGGGAGTGTTAGCCAGCCAGGATAACCCAGGGTAGGGAGTGTTAGCTAGCCAGGATAACCCAGGGTAGGGAGTGTTAGCCAGCCAGGATAACCCAGGGTAGGGAGTGTTAGCCAGCCAGGGTAACCCAGGGTAGGGAGTGTTAGCCAGCCAGGATAACCCAGGGTAGGTAGTGTTAGCCAGCCAGGGTAACCCAGGGTAGGGAGTGTTAGCCAGCCAGGATAACCCAGGGTAGGGAGTGTTAGCCAGCCAGGATAACCCAGGGTAGGGAGTGTTAGCCAGCCAGGATACCCCAGGGTATGGAGTGTTAGCCAGCCAGGATAACCCAGGGTAGGGAGTGTTAGCCAGCTAGGATAACCCAGGGTAGGGAGTGTTAGCCAGCCAGGATAACCCAGGGTAGGGAGTGTTAGCCAGCTAGGATAACCCAGGGTAGGGGGTGTTAGCCAGCCAGGATAACACAGGGTAGGGAGTGTTAGCCAGCCAGGATAACCCAGGGTAGGGAGTGTTAGCCAGCCAGGATAACACAGGGTAGGGAGTGTTAGCCAGCCAGGATAACCCAGGGTAGGGAGTGTTAGCCAGCCAGGATAACCCAGGGTAGGGAGTGTTAGCCAGCCAGGATAACCCAGGGTAGGGAGTGTTAGCGAGCCAGGATAACCCAGGGTAGGGAGTGTTAGCCAGCCAGGATAACCCAGGGTAGGAAGTGTTAGCCAGCCAGGATAACCCAGGGTAGGAAGTGTTAGCCAGCCAGGATAACCCAAGAAAGTTAGTACGTTATTTCCAGTATGGATTCACTATCCTTGACTCACACACCTTCATAATACATAATACGTAGTTCTTAATATAGACACGTAGATGTCAGCAGATAGCCTTGATGTGTCCTGCCAAACCGCCTGCTGTCTGTCTGTCCCTTGTGCTGCTGTTCCCTCTCTCTATCACTATTCCCTCTCTATCACTGTTCCCCTCTCTCCCCCCACTCACCCAGCACATCAGAGCCCCTCTCCTGGTAACCATTCATGACTATGGGCTGTGAGTGGTCTGCAGTAACCAGGATCAGTGTCTCCTGAGGGTCCGTCATGCTCACTGCTTGCTCAATAGCAGCCTCGAACTCCACCGCCTCCTCCAGGGCCGACCTGTACTCGTTCAGGTGGTGGGCCAGATCGATGTTACCTCCTGCAGGCATCAAAGACAATGTTTAAGTATGTGTGTTTAGGCATAGGCGCACATACCTGGAGTATGTGTACCTAGGCCTAAATATACTTATGACATCAGTACCAACCAACATACAATAAACATCAGCCCCAACCAATAAACATCAGCCCCAACCAACAAACGTCAGCCCCAACCAATAAACATCAGCCCCAACCAACAAACGTCAGCCCCAACCAATAAACATCAGCCCCAACCAACAAATGTCAGCCCCAACCAATAAACATCAGCCCCAACCAACAAACGTCAGCCCCAACCAATAAACATCAGCCCCAACCAACAAATATCAGCCCCAACCAACAAACATCAGCCCCAACCAACAAACATCAGCCCCAACCAACAAACATCAGCCCCAACCAACAAATATCAGCCCCAACCAACAAATATCAGCCCCAACCAACAAACATCAGTCCCAACCAACAAACACCACCCCAACCAACAAACATCAGCCCCAACCAACAAACATCAACCCCAACCAACGAACATAAGCCCCAACCAACAAACACCACCCCAACCAACAAACATCAGCCCCAACCAACAAATATCAGCCCCAACCAACAAATATCAGCCCCAACCAACAAACATCAGTCCCAACCAACAAACACCACCCCAACCAACAAACATCAGTCCCAACCAACAAACATCAACCCAACCAACGAATATAAGCCCCAACAACAAACACCACCCCAACCAACAAACATCAGCCCCAACCAACAAACATCAGCCCCAACCAACAAACACCACCCCAACCAACAAACACCACCCCAACCAACAAACGTCACCCCAACCAACATACATCAGCCCCAACCAACAAACACCACCCCAACCAACAAACATCAGCCCCCAACCAACAAACATCATAAAGTTCAACAAACATTACCTTCCACGAAGAGAAAATAACCATTGGTATCCTTCTGAAGAATCTCTATGGCAGTTTTGGTCATCTCTCTGAGGGACGGGTTGCTGACGTCATTGTCCACTTTGAAGCCCATGTGACCCCAGTCGAACAACCCTGTTAATGGTAGTTTGTTAAATGTAATAAACTTGGTAGAATTACCGACAATATGTAAAGTAAAAGGAGACAAGTGCAACTAATGTGACGTGTTATTGTGGCAACGTTTCGCTCTCCAGGAGCTTTATCAAGCCATTACAAACTATACATGGACACAGAGGGTATATAAAGGCTCAGAGTGAGGTGCAATACTAGTGGTAGTGGGTAGTAGTAGTAGTAGTAGTAGTAGTAGTAGTAGTAGTAGTAGTAGTAGTAGTAGTAGTAGTAGTAGTAGTAGTAGTAGTAGTAGTAGTGACAAAAGTAATACAATATGGTAGAGCAATTAATAAATACAAAAGCTATTACTTGGGTAACATAAAAATAGGTTGGACAAATATAGACTGGAAAAATGCAGCTTGTTTCAGTGTTCACTCTCTGTAATGTGCTTTGTGTAGTATAACAGGAGAGACTATGTGATGGCAGGGTTTACTGTTTTCAGGAGGATTCTTGCTAAGACTTCGGAGATGGTGAAGCTGCCGTTGTTTTGTTTAATTGTATTCGAAACAGCGATCAGTGCTGATTCGAGGCACTTGCGTCTGCGGAAATTAGTTTCTTTGATCACTAATTGGGCGTCTCTGAATTTCATGAGATGATTGGTGGAATATCGGTGTTGTACACAGGTGTTGTTCAAGCTATCGTTCCTACATGCGTAAATGTGAACATTGAGGCGGGTGTCGAGGTTTCTTGCTGTTTCACCTACGTAAATCTTGTCACAGCCTCCACAGGGTATAGTGTAAACCCCTGCATTGACTGGAGAGCGAACGTTGCCACAATAAATGTCACATTAGTTGCACTTGTGTCCTTTTACTTTACACAGTTTGTTAAATGGTTATGATGTCGTAAGAATGGAGGAGCACTGCAGCAGGCCTACTGACCCATGATAGGCAGGTTCTTCTCAAAGCTAAACCCACTAACAAAAATATTTGCCCAACCCATTATCAGTGTTACTCAAGGAATAACCTTTGATAACTATTATAAGCTTTGATAACCCTATTATAAGCTTAAATAACCCTATTATAAGCTTAGATAACCCTATTATATGCTTTGATAGCTCTATTATAAGCTATGATAACTCTATCATAAGCTTAGATAACCCTTTTATGAGCTTAGATAACCCAATTATAAGTTTTGATAACCCCATTATAAGCTTAGATAACCCCATTATAAGCTTAGATAACCCAATTATAAGTTTTGATAACCCCATTATAAGCTTAGATAACCCCATTATAAGCTTAGATAACCCAATTATAAGTTTTGATAACCCCATTATAAGCTTAGATAACCCTATTATCAGCTTAGATAACCCTATTATCAGCTTAGATAACCCTATTATCAGCTTAGATAACCCTATTATCAGCTTAGATAACCCTATTATCAGCTTAGATAACCCTATTATCAGCTTAGATAACCCTATTATCAGCTTAGATAACCCTATTATCAGCTTAGATAACCCTATTATCAGCTTAGATAACCCTATTATCAGCTTAGATAACCCTATTAACACTTAGATAACCCTAATTATCACTTAGATAACCCTATTATCAGCTTAGATAATCCCTATTATCAGCTTAGATAACCCTATTATCAGCTTAGATACCCCTATTATCAGCTTAGATAACCCTATTATCAGCTTAGATAACCCTATTATCAGCTTAGATACCCCTAATATCAGCTTAGATAACCCTATTATCAGCTTAGATACCCCTAATATCAGCTTAGATACCCCTAATATCAGCTTAGATACCCCTATTTAATCTATATATTAAACAGAACTGGATACATCAGCAGTGTGCTGTTCTATGTGATAATTAACATAGTGAGAACTGGTCATTAACATTGACGGTGGAGGTAAACACAATATTCCATACATTAATCTGTGAGGTTGTGCGTTTGGCAGCGTGACTCGTGACAGTAGTTGTGGGTGCCAGGCGTATGAAAAAACTTGTTTTATTTGTTAATTGCTCGTTTTATGTATTGATTACTCGTTTTATGTATTGATTACTCGTTTTATGTATTGATTACTCGTTTTATGTATTGATTACTCGTTTTATTATCACATTTTATTGTTTATCACGTTTTATTTATTAATTATCACTCACATGACAAGTCCTCACATATCTCAGTCCTACATTATATATCATTCCTTTATTTATAATGTAAGATTAGTTTGTCTTTTACTAGAACGTCATTTTTCCAACGATCTCTGTTTTCGATGATACTTTTTTAAGCAAATTTAGGATAGGTTAGGGTACGCACGGCCACCGCGTTGCCAGACGCATTTGGGCTTTTAGTTTTTAAAATGTATTAATTGTTTTTAAGTTAAAAAATCGTTGTTAATTTACAAGAACATTCAGAAATTTACGTTTGGAATCACGTGATTTTTAAATTACCGTAGTAAATAAGTGAGGACATATTTGCAGTACGACAACCTTACCCATGAGGTATTCAGTGTTGGTAGTGTCGACGGCGAGGAGGTCGTTGCGGTGCCAGACGTAGGAGGCATTACCAAGGAGATTTTTCTGGTTGATCCAAGTTTCTATGAGATTCTTATCGTCATCTCTCTTCCCTCCGTCGCCGCCTTCAGGGTCGTCTACGTGCTTAGGTGTTAACTTCTGACGTCCGCCACCCATGATAACCTGGTGGTGCCAGCCGCAAAAATGTTATTACACTCTCATACATTTAAGTAAGTTTATTCAGGTATACACAAATACAGTTAAATAGAATTATCATACATAGCAGCATATGTGTAGACAACCTGGGATAACCCAGAAAAGTTAGACAGAGTGACTTATTTCCATTGTGGTCCTTAACATATATGAACGAGAATGTAATCGAGTAGGTCTTTAATTCATTATTTTAAATCATTTACTTATTCTTTTAACCTATGTATTTACGCCTTAATTGTATAAAGGCAAACTTCGTACGTCCGTCATCCAGGATAACCTGAAGGTACTACTGGCGTAAATGTTATCGTACACTAGATCATAACACAATTATTTTAAGTCTGACAATACAATTAGAGAATATATATATATATATATATATATATATATATATATATATATATAATATATATATATATATATATAATATATATATATATATATATAATATATATACATATATATTACGTTTAAATATTTACTCTGAAGGCTTTAATTATCTGAAGGAGATATTTCTACGCCCGCCATCCATTGACAAACCTTGATGCCGGTTATGTAGAGGTTATCGCACACTTTATTATTTAGTAAATTGACAAAATGTTGGATTTTGACATCGGATAAATTTAGAAATATTTAACCAAAGGAAGAGCCGGATGTTTCTTATTATAAACCAAATTATATAATAGAATAATTATGATATCAAGAGCCCTCTCCTCCTCTCACAGGCATCACCTTGTCTTGCAGTTGTCGTACCTGCTTTGTAGCTGTCACACCTGCCTTGCAGTTGTCGTACATGCCTTCTTCTTACATTGTCGTACATGTTTTCTGTCTCCAGTTGTCGTACCTGCTTTGTAGCTGTCATCCCTGTTTTGCAGTTGTCGTACAGCCTTCTGTCTTGCTTACGTAATATCTTCTGTCCTGCTTTTGTCGTACATGTCTCCGTCTTGCATTTTGTCGTACATGTCTCCGTCTTGCAATGTCGTACATGTCTCCTGTCTTGCGTTTCGTACATGTCTCCTTCTTGCAGAGTCGTACTTTCCCTGTCTTGAAATTGTCACGCATGCCTCTTGTCTTGCATTATCGTACAGACTTACAATTGTCGTATCGTCTTGCATTATCACCCTGTCCCCATTATTATCATGCTTGCAGTTACATCCCAATTTGCAGTTGTCACCTTGATTTGGAACCTGTGTCTCCCAGCCCCATTGTTCTGCGATGTCGTCACAGAGGTGGGGTCGCCACCATCTCGTTGATGTCGTCGTCACCCCCAGTGCCTGGGGGGGACGACCGCCTCCAACCCTAGCACACCTCACTACAGTGCTGTTCCCCCACCTTGGAACGACTTTTATAAAACTCCCTTACTCTCTGTGTTGACTCAGGGTTTTTCCTGGTGATTCACACCTGACAAACCCATTAACCAGCCCTGACTCCACCTTTAACTACCCCTCACTACCATTAACTACCACTCACACCTTTAACTAGCCCTGATCACCACCTTTAAACCCAGTCCTGACCACTACCTTTAACCCATCCTGACTCACTACCATTAACACCCCGACCACTACCAAAACTAGCCCTGATCACACCATTAACTAGCCCGACTCACAACCATTACCAGCCGACTCACCACCATTAACCAGTCCCTGACTCACAACCATTAACCATCTGACTACTCCTTAACTACCCTGACTCACACCATTAAAACTAGCCCTGACTCACACCATTAACTACCCTACTCACTAACCAATTAACCATCCTGACTCACCACCATTAACCAGTCCTGACTCACCACCATTAACTAGTCCTGACTCACCACCATTAACCAGTCCTGGCTCACACCTTTAACTATTCTGGACTCACCACCATTAACCAGCCCTGACTCACCACCATTAACACCCTTTTGCCCAAACCCACCATTAACCAGTCCTACTAACCAACCATTAACCAGTCGAACTCACCACCATTAACTAGCCCTGACTCACTACCATTAACTACCCTGACTCCACCATTAACTAGCCCGACTCACTACCATTAACTAGCCCTGACTCACCCCTTAAAACCAACCCGACTCACCACCTTTAAACCAATCCTGACTAACCACCATTACCAGTCCTGACTCCCCAAACCATTAACCGCCTGACACACCACCATTAACCATCCTGACTAAACACCATTAACCAGTCCTGACTCACCACCATTAACCAGCCCTGACTCACCACCATTAACCATCCTGAACTAACCACCTTTAAACCAGTCCTGACTCACCAACCATTAACCAGTCCTGACTCACCACCATAACCAGTCCTGACTAACCACCATTAAAAAAACCCTGACTCCCACCATTAACCATCCTGACTCACCACCATAACCAGTCCTGACTCACCACCATTAACCAGTCCTAAACTAACCACATTAACCAGTCCTCTACCACCATTAACCACCCTACTCACCCTCAGCAGTGTGGGCGTAGTACCACGGGCGAGGCATGAGTGACTCTGGTCCGTAACAATGCCATAGAGCGACCAGCGTCCTGTGGACACCACACATGAATTTTCTCACTCCCAAGGACATTACACTTACTTTACTCATTACCCCTATTCATTTACCCTTAATCTTACTTAAAAATAAACATGCGGGCTAGAGTCACGTACCGGGAACTTCTCCAGCCACCACATACCTGGAAATTTTTCCCGCCACCCATACCTGGAACTTCCCGCACCACAACCGAACTTCTTCCCAGCCACCACATACCGGAACCTTCCCGGGCCACCACTCCCTGGAACTTCCCAGCCAATCACATACCTGGAACTTCCCCACCACCACATACCTGGAACTTCCCAGGCCACCACATTCCGGAACTTCCCAGCCACCAAAACCTGGAACTTCCAGCCACCACAACTGGAACTTCCCAGCCACCCATACCTGGAACTTCCCGCCACACATACCTGAACTTCCCAGCCACCCATACCGGGAACTTCCCAGCCACCACGGTACCGGAACTTCCCAGCCACCACATACCTGGGAACTTCCCACCACCCCCATCCTGGAATACTTCCCAGCCACCACTACCGGAACTTCCCAGCCACCACTACCGGAACTTTCCCAGCAACCACTACCCTGGAACTTCCCACCAAACCACATCCCTGGAACTTCCCAGCCACCACTCCTGAACTTCCCAGCCACCACATACCTGGAACTTCCCAGCCACCACATACCTTGAATTTCCCAGCCATCCCCAACCTGGAACTCCCAGCCACCACATCCCCTAACTTCCCACCCACCAAATACCTGAATTTCCAGCCACCACATACCTGGAACTCCCAGCCACCCCCATACCTGGAACTTCCAGCCACCACTACCTGGAACTTCCCAGCCCCCAAACGTACCGGGAAACACCCAGCCACCACATACCTGACTTCCCACCACCACTATACCTGGAACTTCCAGCCACCACATACCAGAACCCTTCCCGCCCACCACATACCGGGAAACTTCCCAGCCCCACATACCTGAACTTCCCAGCCACCACATACCTGAACTTCCCACCAAACCACATAACCTGGAAACTTCCCCACCATCACAAACCTGGAACTTCCCAGCCACCACATACCCTTGGAACTTCCCAGCCACCACATACCTGAACTTCCCACCACCACATACCTGGAACTTCCACCACCACAAAACCTGGAACTTCCCCACCACCACATACCTGGAACTTCCCAGCCACCACGTACCGAACTTCCCAGCCACCACATACCGGGAAACTTCCCGCCACCCACATACCTGGAACCTCCCAGCCACCACATACCGGAACTTCCCACCATCACAACCTGGAACTTCCAGCCACCACATACCTGGAACTTCCCAGCCACCACATACCTGGAACTTCCCACCACCACATACCGGGAACTTCCCCAGCCACCACATACCTGGAACTTCCCAGCCCCCACATACCTGGAATTCCCAGCCAAACACAAAAACATGGAACTTCCAGCCCCACAAACTGGAACTTCCCACCACCACATACCTTGGAACTTCCCAGCCACCACATCCTGAACTTCCCAGCAACCACTACCTGGAACTTCCCAGCCACCACATACCTGGAACTTCCCACCACCACATACCGGGAACTTCCCAGCCACCACATACCTGGAACTTCCCACCACCACATACCTGAACTTCCCAGCCACACAACCTGGAACTTCCCCAGCCACCACAAAACCTGGAACTTCCCAGCCCCACATACCGGGAACTTCCCAGCCACCACATACCTGGACTTCCCAGCCACCACATACCTGAACTTCCCACCACCACATACCTGGAACTTCCCCAGCCCCACGTACCTGGAACTTCCCAGCCACCACATACCTGGAACTTCCCAGCCACCACATACCTGGAACTTCCCAGCCACCACATACCTGGAACTTCCCAGCCACCACATACCTGGAACTTCCCAGCCACCACATACCTGGAACTTCCCAGCCACCACATACCGGGAACTTCCCAGCCACCAAACCTGGAACTCCCAGCCACCACATACCGGGAACTTCCCACCACCACATACCTGGAACTCCCAGCCACCACATACCCTGGAACTTCCAGCCACCACTACCTGGAACTTCCAGCCACCACATACCTGGAACTTCCCACCCCCAAACATACCGGGAACCCTTCCCCCACCACATACCTGGAATCCAGCCACCACTACCTGGAACTCCCAGCCAACCTACCTGGAACTTCACCACCACGTACCTGGAACTTCCAGCCACCCATACTGAACTTCCCAGCCACCACATACCTGGAACTTCCCAGCCACCACATACCTGAAATTCTAAAAAAAGAGTGTGTAGGGAAAACTGTGAATGTTTCATAATCACAGTCGGCCAGCTGAACATTAACGTCCACACCGAGGGTCTGCGGGTTTACCCTTGACAACCGCTGGGGTAAAGCTGTGGCGCCCGGCACAGAATCTGTCACCACTTCTCGCTGTATGTCTGCAGCGGAAGTCAGCATCCGTTACTATCGTTGTATTTCTTAACCTGGGACCCACTCTCCCAAGCAGTGGAAAAGTTGTTAGTAGGCTCGGCTCGATAAGTACATTTATATATATATATATATAAAATATATAATATATATAAATAATAAATATATATATATATATAAATATATAATATATATAAATAATAAATTATATATAATAATAATATATATTGCAAAATATAAAGATGGTAAAATAAAAGTACATGAGTGAATATATTGTTACGTGTTTGTTATGATAGACCGTAAATATCGGCCATTCTATAGACACCGAATCTGGCCAACAGAGATTAATACAATTACATTACCGTAGTTGTCTCAAACATTAATCCCTTGTTCATATTTTGGGAAAAATTTGACATAATTGAAGTCGATAAACAGACCCCTTAAGACAGACCCTTAAAAACATACCCCTTAAGACAGACCCCTTTAAAAGACAGACCCCTTCAGACAGACCCCTTTAAGCCCAGACGCCTAAGACAGACCCCTTAAGACAGACCCCTTCAGACAGACCCCTTAAGACAGACGCCTTAAGACAGACCCCTTAAGATAGACGCCTTAAGACAGACCCCTTAAGACAGACCCCTTAAGACAGACGCCTTAAGACAGACGCCTTAAGACAGACGCCTTAAGACAGACCCCTTAATACAGACACCTTAAGACAGACCCCTTAAGACAGACGCCTTAAGACAGACGCCTTAAGACAGACCCCTTAAGACAGACACCTTAAGACAGACCCCTTAAGACAGACGCCTTAAGACAGACGCCTTAAGACAGACCCCTTAAGACAGACACCTTAAGACAGACCCCTTAAACAGACGCCTTAAACAGACACCTTAAGACAGACCCTTAAGACAGACACCTTAAAGACAAAACGGCCTTAAGACAGACACCTTAAGACAGACCCTTAAGACAGACACCTTAAGACAGACCCCATAAGAGACAGCGCAAATAACCAAGTCAAACCAGAGTAAACAGGAGTCACCACAACTGTTACAGTAACTTCACCAACAAACACGAGGAGAGAAACATCAGGCAATCACCTGACTCAGCAGTGACCTGGGTCCTAGACCAAGTAACATAAGAACATAAGAAAGTAGGAACACTGCAACAGGCCTACTGACCCATGCGGAGCAGGTCCATTCCCCCCCCCCCCGGATTAGCCCAAGACCCACCCATCTGGTTACCTCCACTCAAGGATGGAGCACTGCCCAACCCAGCAAACACAAGCTAGTCAGGGCCAGCTCACACCCACTCATGTATTTATCTAACCTATTTTTAAAACTACACAACGTTTTAGCCCAATAACTGTACTCGGAGTTTGTTCCACTCATCCACAACTCTATTACCAAACCATACTTTCCTATACCTTCCTGAATCTGAATTTTTTCCAACTTAAAATCATTGCTGCGAGTCCTGTCTAGGCTAGATATTTTCAGCACGCTATTTACATCCCCTTTATTTTTTCCTGTCTTCCATTTATACACCTCAATTCATATCACCCCTAATTCAACGTCTTTCTAGAGAGTGCAGATTCAGGGCCCCAGTCCACCCCATAGGATAGACAGGGCCCTCATGTATCCTCATAGGAAAGACGGGCCCTCAGTCTATCCCATAGGATAACAGGCCTCATCCCATCCTCATAGGATAGACAGGGCCCTCGTCTATCCTCATAGGATAGACAGGGCCTCATCTATCCTCATAGATAGACAGGCCTCCCTCTATCCTCATAGGATAGACAGGGGCCCCATCTATCCTCATAGATAGACAGGCCCTCAGTCCCATCCTCATAGGATAGACAGGCCTCAGTCTATCCTCATAGGATAGACAGGGCCTCAGTCTATCCTCATAGGAAGACAGGCCCTCAGTCTATCCTCATAGGATAGACAGGGCCCTCAACTATCCTCATAGATAGACAGGGCCCCCAGTCCTATCCTCATAGGATAGACAGGGCCTCAGTCTATCCTCATAGGATAGACAGGCCCTCATCTATCCTCATAGGATAGACAAGGCCCTCAGTCTATCCTCATAGGATAGACAGGGCCTCAGTCTATCCCATAGGATAGACAGGGGCCCCAGTCTATCCTCATAGGATAGACAGGGCCCTCAGTCTATCCTCATAGGATAGACAGGGGGCCCCCAGTCTATCCCTCATAGATAGACAGGCCTCAGTCTATCCTCATAGGTAGACAGGGCCTCAGTCTATCCTCATAGATAGACAGGGCCCTCAGTCTATCCTCATAGGATAACAGGGCCCTCAGACCCATCCTCATAGGATAAAACAGGGCCTCATCTATCCTCAAGGATAGACAGGGCCTCAGTCTATCCTCATAGGATAGACAGGGGCCCCCAGCCTATCCTCATAGGATAGACAGCCTCAGTCTATCCTCATAGGATAGACAGGGCCTCAGTCTATCCTCATAGGATAGACAGGGGCCCCAGTCTATCCTCATAGGATAGACAGGCCTCAGTCTATCCTCATAGGATAGACAGGCCCTCCATCTATCCCATAGGAAGACAGGGCCTCAGTCATCCTCATAGGATAGACAGGGCCCTCAGTCCCATCCTCAAGGATAGACAGGGCCCTCAGACTATCCCATAGGATAGACAGGGCCTCAGTCTATCCTCATAGGGTAGACAGGGCCTCAGTCTATCCTCATAGGATAGACAGGGCCCTCGTCTATCCTCATAGGATAGACAGGGCCTCAGTCTATCCTCATAGGATAGACAGGGGCCTCAGTCTAACCTCATAGGATAGACAGGGCCTCATCTATCCTCATAGGGTAGACAGGGCCTCAGTCTATCCTCATAGGATAGACAGGGCCCTCAGTCTATCCTCATAGGATAGACAGGGCCCTCAACTATCCTCATAGGATAACGGGGCCTCAGTCTATCCTCATAGGGTAGACAGGGCCTCAGTCTATCCTCATAGGATAGACAGGGCCCTCAGTCTATCCTCATAGGATAGACAGGGGCCCCATCTATCTCATAGGATAACAGGGCCTCAGTCTATCCCATGGAAAAGACAGGGCCTCAGTCTATCCTCATAGATAGACAGGGCCTCATCTATCCTCATAGGAAAGACAGGGGCCCCCAGTCTATCCTCATAGGATAACAGGGCCTCAGTCTATCCTCAAAGGATAGACAGGGCCTCAGTCTATCCCATAGATAGACAGGGCCTCAGCTATCCCATAGGATAGACAGGGCCCCAGTCCCATCCTCATAGGATAGACAGGGCCTCAGGTATCCTCATAGGATAGACAGGGCCCTCATCTATCCTCATAGGGTAGACAGGGCCTCAGTCCCATCCTCATAGGATAGACAGGCCTCAGTCTATCCTCATAGGGTGACAGGCCTCAGTGTATCCTCATAGGATAGACAGGGCATCAGACTATCCTCATAGGATAGACAGGCCTCAGACTATCCTCAAGGATAGACAGGGGCCCCAGTCTATCCTCATAGGATAGACAGGGCCCTCAGACTATCCTCATAGGATAGACAGGCCTCAGTCCCATCCTCATAGATAGACAGGGCCTCAGTCTATCCTCATAGGATAGACAGGGCCCAGTGTATCCTCATAGGGTAGACAGGGCATCAGACTATCCTCATAGGGTAGCAGGGCCCTCAAGACTATTTCCCCATAGGATAGACAGGCCCAGTCCTATCCCATAGGATAGACAGGGCCCTCAGACTATCCTCATAGGATAGACAGGGCCTCAGTCTATCCTCATAAAGGGGAAAATTTCTGATACATGGGATCAACTTTGTCATCCCCTCTGTACGTTGTCCAAACATTTATATCCATCGTAATACTGTGACCAGAACTGAGCAGCATAGTCAATGAGGCCTAACCTCAAGCCTCCTGTTGTAGGCCTAACCAAGGGTATATAGAGTTTAAGAACAACCTGAGGACTTCTATTATTATACTTCTAGATATGAAGCCAAGAATTCTGTTAACTTATTGCCAACACAATGTACTGTTGTCTTGGTTTAAATTACACTAACCAGAACTCCTAAATCCCTTTACACAATCCTAATATTAAGATCTACATTATTTAGTTTATATTGTCCCTGGTTATTTGTCCTGTCTAACATTTAGAACTTTGTCCCCTCCCTCATTACTTGTTCCCCTCCCTCATACTTTGTTCCCCTCCCTCATTACTTTGTTCCCCTCCCTCATTACTTTGTTTCCCTCCCTCATTACTTTGTTCCCCTCCCTCATTACTTGTTCCCCTCCCTCATTACTTTGTTCCCTCCCTTATTACTTTGTTCCCCTCCCTCATTACTTTGTTCCCCTCCCTTATTACTTTGTTCCCTCCCTCATTACTTTGTTCCCCTCCCTCATTACTTTGTTCCCCTCCCTCATTACTTTGTTCCCCTTCCCTCATTACTTTGTTCCCTTCCCTCATTACTTTGTTTCCCCTCCCTCATTACTTTGTTCCCCTCCCTCATTACTTGTTTCCCCTCCCTCATTACTTTGTTCCCCTCCCTCATTACTTTGTTCCCCTCCCATCATTACTTTGTTCCCCTCCCTCATTACTTTTGTTCCCCTCCCTCATTACTTTGTTCCCTTCCCTCATTACTTGTTTCCCTCCCTCATTACTTTGTTCCCCTCCCTCATTACTTTGTTTCCCTCCCTCATTACTTGTTCCCCTCCCTCATTACTTTGTTCCCCTCCCTCATTAACTTGTTCCCCTCCCTACATTAGTCCCATACACGAGGTGTAACAACACCCAGGTACCTACTACTGCTAGATGAACAGTGACAGCAGCTGTAAGTGACTAACACCCAGGTACCTACTTACTGCTAGGTAAGCAGGGACAGCAGGTGTCTTAAGGAGACACGTCCTAATGCTTCTACCCATACCGGGGATCGAACCAGGAACCTCGGTTTATGAGCTACAAGACGTTTTGCCCACTAGTGGCTTTATCAATACACTACCTGGAGTATACCTGGAGGGTGTTTCGGGGTCAACGCCCCCGCGGCCCAGCCTGTGACCAGGCTTCGTATCTGGACCTATTATGTACGTCTGTAATGTTGAGGTACAGTCCCTGGAACCATTATGTACCTCTGTAATGTTGATATACAGTCCCTGGACCCATTATGTACCTCTGTAATGTTGAGGTACAGTCCCTGGAACCATTGTGTACCTCTGTAATGTTGATATACAGTCCCTGGAACCATTATGTACCTCTGTAATGTTGATATACAGTCCCTGGACCCATTATGTACCTCTGTAATGTTGATATACAGTCCCTGGACCCATTATGTACCTCTGTAATGTTGATATACAGTCCTGGAACCATTGTGTACCTCTGTAATGTTGATATACAGTCCCTGGACCCATTATGTACCTCTGTAATGTTGATATACAGTCCCTGGACCCATTATGTACCTCTGTAATGTTGATATACAGTCCCTGGACCCATTATGTACCTCTGTAATGTTGATATACAGTCCCTGGAACCATTGTGTACCTCTGTAATGTTGATATACAGTCCCTGGACCCATTATGTACCTCTGTAATGTTGATATACAGTCCCTGGAACCATTATGTACCTCTGTAGTGTTGATATACAGTCCTTGGACCCATTATGTACCTCTGGAATCTTTTTGACTACCACCCACACCACGGGTATGGGCCGCATAATACAAATATATAGAAGCCCTTTGTTATGCAGAGCATTTCGGACGAATTAGGTCAGTTTTGTCCCAGGATGCGACCCAACCTAACTCTTCAACTAGTTCTTTAAACCACTTCCAACGTACCTTAATGAGGGTCGAATAAGGGAACTTTTCGTAAGCCATGACCTCGTGTTCAAAGTTCCCTGTTCGGAGACCCTTGAGGTACCTGGCTGCCGTCAGGGTGGATATGGACGTCCCATCACCCAGGAAGAAGATGATATTCTTCGCCTGACTTACGATCTCAGTCTTCTCTAACTGAGTTCGAAGCTCAGCCTGCATCCGCTCGTTCCAGAAGGCCATGTCTGAAGGATACGTGTAAAGTAGACAATAGCACTTACGTATTCCTGTACCTAAATGGTACAGGAATACATAAGTGCAATTATCATACAGAATAATTTACCTGGATAGGGTTTTGGGGGTCAACGCCCCCGAGGCCCGGTCTGTGACCAGGCCTGGTAGGGGATCACGGTCTGATCAACCAGACTGTTACAGCTGGCTACACGTAACTTAGTACCTTGTGGTCCTTGTATATCTTATTCCAAGCATAACTATAAGATTGAGTAATAGTTTAGGGGCCCTAGACGGGACATTACAGAGGTCCGCCCGCCCCTCTGTCCTGGTGGGTTTAGTGCTTGAATTTAGATAATAATAATCCCTCCTCACCCTCACTGCTTTTACCATTAATGACATATATATTCTAACATTATAAGCGGTGGTACAGTTAACTGTACGACTGTCACTAGCCTGATATAAACCCGTGTAAGTTAAACTGCCAGAAATAAGTATTCACTGAAATTCGAGAACGTCTTTCAAAAAGTGTATTTTGATTTCAGATTCAAAGTAACGGGTATAATATGATAGATACGTGGAGGTCAGATGAGGACACAACGAGGCCATGACCATCCAGGGTGGCCTCTTAACCAGGGCTAGTATATTAACGATTCGCTCTTCTCTTCTCTCTCCTCTCTCTCTCTCTCTCTCTCCTCTCTCTCTCTCTCTCTCTCTTCTCTCTCTCTCTCTCTCTCTCTCTCTCTCAAATTTGCCAAAAGGACCTTATTTCAAAGCCTGTTCCCACCAATCCACTCCAACCTGCCTCAACTGCAAGGGCACTCACCATACCCTTGCAGCTAAATGCCCACTGAGGAAGGAAGTGCTGACTAAGAAAATCAAAGCGGAAGCTAAGAAGAGCAGTCTCAAATCGCCGACATATGCCACCATAACAAAACAGCTATATCTATCCAGCACCTCCTCTCTCCACTTCCAGACGCGGCTCCCTCCAAGGTGCTGTATTGCATGGTGTATGTTGCGCACCTTGCGAATGCAGCCAACCCAGGCACATTCAACACCACCAACTTAACAACATGTCTGCCGTCGTTTTCCCTGACTCCACACCTTCAACTGACATCCTCAGGATTCTTCCTAACGTCGTTAACTGCACTACTGCTGACCTGTCTCCTACTGCCCAAGCAGCTGTTCCGGCACCTTCCACAACCTCCGACAACACCTCTCATGCTGCCTCAACCACAGCCTCCCAACCAGATGTTACACCTCCAGTACACCTCTCCATTGCTCCTGTCGACCCACAGTCACCTGCTAGCACCGTGGTAGACTCATCTACTGAATACACATCAGAAAATGAAGAAGATATTGACAACTTTAGCACATCAACATGGGAAATCTTGCATTCTACACTGCCCCCATCAAACGCTGACACCATGACCTGCCCTGAACTCTACAAAGGTCTCGGTGCAGGAACTGTCAAGTTTTCCTGCGAACAACTCACCCAAGTTCTGAAATTCCTGAAGCCTCTACGATTCACTTTTGGAACCAAGGCAAAACTATACTACCTCTCCAGAAGCAGCTTCAAGAAATTTGAGAATGGCTCTTCTACAGACCTGCCACCCCAGACGCGCCAAACAACATCACCAGTATGCTGCCCTCTGATGTTGTCCTCTGTCTGCCCTGTCCTGCGACGTAACCTGCTGCCAGCTTGTCAAGTCTATAGACATCCAGCTTCTACAAGACCAAAGCAACTAAGCCTGCCATTTCTGATTCTTAAGTTTGTCCCACAATCGCCTAGCTATTTTGTACGACTGGACACTCCTCTCCAGCCCTATTCTTCGCCTGCCCCGTCTTCCCGTTCACCCCATTGGGGACTTACCTATACTCTCTTGATCGCCATCTTGATGGGTGAACATGGACGACCGGTGTAAAGAAAGAAGCCTAGTGTTTCTACCCTCGCTGAGAATCGAACCCGGATATCAGCGTGTGAAGCGAGAGCTTCAGCCACCAGGCTACCAGACCTCTGAAGTACCTGGAGGTACTTCATTGGTCTACAATATCGACAAGACGATGATGTAGTTCTACGAGGCTGAGGGACTGACCACCTCCTCTTCTACTGTTCATGTCTCTCTGTTGTATTAACAAAGTCACTGGTTGGCGAAACGCCTACAAAATAAAGGTAGACAGATGTTGTACATGGGTATAATAATGTGAAAGAGTGCAGGGGCAATGGGAGAGAAGTTTTAATATGAGAGAATCCAGATGGTGACATTGAACAGATGGTGACATTGAACAGATGGTGACATTGAACAGATGGTGACATTGAACAGATGGTGACATTGAAGGTACTCACACTGAGGTAATGTAAGATAAAACTCCACGTGATTAATTCCTGTATGTCAGCTAGAAACTCCTACAGCTGTTGTTGTCTTAAGTTAGGTACAAATGTGGTAAAAAATGGATATGTGACTAAGAGTCATATCTTGTCCAAATTATATGACCTAAAGCTTTGATGAAGTGGATATGTGAGGATATGTTAATGCAGTCACGAACGAGTGGTTTTGAGAAAATGATAATACTGGTACTAGACGGGGATCGAACCCTCGACATTTTAGCACGCCTGCTAAGCTCACCAAAATTCCAAAACGCCTTGGACCACCGATCGTTAAGATTGTTACTGTCAGTGATATGTCCAGTATTACAATGTTTGCGGTTGCTGGAGTCTAGGCACAGCTCCTGGCCCCCACCTTTTCTCTGGTCGCTATTAGGTCCACACACTCTCTCTCTCTCCTTGCTCCATGAGCTTTATTGTGTCTGTTCTTAAAGCTATGTATGGTTCCTGCCTCCACTACATCACTCTCCAGGTTGTTCCACTTCCTGATAACTCTGTGACTGAAGAAATACTTCCTAACGTCCCTGTGACTCGTCTGAGTCTTCAGCTTCCAGTTGTGACCCCTTGTTGCTGTGTCCCCTTGTTGCTGTGTCCCCTTGTTGCTGTGTCCCCTTGTTGCTGTGTCTCCTTGTTGCTGTGTCCCTTGTTGCTGTGTCTCCTTGTTGCTGTGTCTCCTTGCTGCTGTGTCTCCTTGTTGCTGTGTACCCTTGTTGCTGTGTCCCCTTGTTGCTGTGTCCCCTTGTTGCTGTGTCCCCTTGTTGCTGTGTCTCCTTGTTGCTGTGTCCCCTTGTTGCTGTGTCTCCTTGTTGCTGTGTCTCCTTGCTGCTGTGTCTCTTGTTGCTGTGTACCCTTGTTGCTGTGTCCCTTGTTGCTGTGTCTCTTGCTGCTGTGTCTCCTTGTTGCTGTGTACCTTGTTGCTGTGTCCCCTTGTTGCTGTGTCCCCTTGTTGCTGTGTCCCCTTGTTGCTGTGTCTCCTTGTTGCTGTGTACCCTTGTTGCTGTGTCTCCTTGTTGCTGTGTCCCCTTGTTGCTGTGTCCCCTTGTTGCTGTGTCTCCTTGCTGCTGTGTCTCCTTGTTGCTGTGTACCCTTGTTGCTGTGTCTCCTTGCTTCTGTGTCTCCTTGTTGCTGTGTCCCTTGTTGCTGTGTCCCCTTGTTGCTGTGTCCCCTTGCTGCTGTGTCTCCTTGTTGCTGTGTCCCTTGTTGCTGTGTCCCCTTGTTGCTGTGTCCCCTTGTTGCTGTGTCACCTTGTTGCTGTGTCCCCGTGCTGCTGTGTCCCCTTGTTGCTGTGTCCCCTTGCTGCTGTGTCCCCTTGTTGTTGTGTCCCCTTGTTGCTGTGTTCCCTTGTTGTTGTGTCCCCTTGCTGCTGTGTCCCCTTGTTGCTGTGTCCCCTTGTTGCTGTGTTCCCTTGTTGCTGTGTCCCCTTGTTGCTGTGTCCCCTTGCTGCTGTGTCCCCTTGTTGCTGTGTCCCCTTGCTGCTGTGTCCCTTGTTGTTGTGTCCCCTTGTTGTTGTCCCTTGTTGCTGTGTCTCCTTGTTGCTGTGTCCCCTTGCTGCTGTGTCCCCTTGTTGCTGTGTCCCCTTGTTGCTGTGTCCCCTTGTTGCTGTGTCCCTTTGCTGCTGTGTCCATTTTGCTTGCTGTGTCCCCTTGCTTGCTGTGTCCCTTGTTGTTGTCCCCTTGTTGTTGTGTCCCCTTGTTGTTGTGTTCCCTTGTTGCTGTGTCCCTTGTTGTTGTGTCCCCTGTTGTTGTGTTCCCTTGTTGCTGTGTCCCCTTGTTGTTGTGTCCCTTGTTGTTGTGTCCCCTTGTTGTTGTGTCCCTTGTTGTTGTGTCCCCTTGTTGTTGTGTCCCTTGTTGTGTGTCCCCTTTTGTTGTGCCCCTTGTTGTTGTGCCCCTTGTTGCTGTGTCCCCTTGTTGTTGTGTCCCCTTGTTGTTGTGTCCCCTTGTTGTTGTGTCCCCTTGTTGCTGTGTCCCCTTGTTGTTGTGTCCCTTGTTGTTGTGTCCCCTTGTTGTTGTGTCCCCCTTGTTGTTGTGTCCCCTTGTTGCTGTGTCCCCTTGTTGTTGTGTCCCCTTGTTGCTGTGTCCCCTTGTTGTTGTGTCCCCTTGTTGCTGTGTCCCCTTGTTGTTGTGTCCCCTTGTTGTTGTGTCCCCTTGTTGTTGTGTCCCCTTGTTGTTGTGTCCCCTTGTTGTTGTGTCCCCTTGTTGTTGTGTCCCCTTGTTGCTGTGTCCCCTTGCTGCTGTGTCCCCTTGTTGCTGTGTCCCCTTGCTGCTGGTGTCCCCTTGTTGTTGTGTCCCCTTGTTGTTGTGTCCCCTTGTTGTTGTGTCCCTTTGTCTGCTGTGTCCCCTTGTTGTTGTGTTCCCCTTGTTGTTGTGTCCCCTTGTTGTTGTGTCCCCTTGTTGCTGTGTCCCCTTACTGCTGTGTCCCCTTGTTGCTGTGTCCCCTTGTTGCTGTGTCCCCTTGTTGTTGTGTCCCCTTGTTGTTGTGTCCCATCCCTGAAACATCCTGTCACTATCCACCTCGTCAATACCTCTCAGTATTTCACATGTCGTTATCATGTCTTCCCTATCCAGTGGTCCCACACAGTTACCGGGATGTTGACCATAGTTCGAGCCTTCGGCCACTTTCGTGTCTT